CCCTGCCGCGTGCTTACGTGCGCGTCGCAGGTGGCCAGCGCAGCGAGCATCCTGCAGCCGGCCGAGGTCCGCATCGGGACGGGAGCCCGTCTACGCCCCCGAGGCGCTGCGCCCCGCTCTGGCACCGCTTCGCGGTGGTTGCTGCTGTCTCTGAAAATCCTGACAGAGCTGTAAAAATAATTCATAGTGGTAGATAGATAAGGGGTACCAAGGCCTCATCTTGCCTGTTATACCAGCAGGACATAAGCAAACATGAGTCTTACACAAAGCACAAGAACTCAGGAAATAGCTGAGCTTTTTTCTGCTAGAGCTGGTATGGAACAGCTTCATTTGCTCAACTTACAGATAATAATTAAAGCAATTATTCATTTAACTGAAAGGCTTCCTGGCTGTGAGGGCGAAACCACCAGCCCTTGCAAGTGCGCCTGCCCAGACATCACGGCAGTTTGGGGACATCTTTGCCAGCTCCCCAAACGCCATCACCGTCTGCAAAGAGCCTCCTGCCCTGGCAGCAGGATGCCGGGCTGGGGAGGAGGCGTTTGCCCCATGCTGCCTCTTCCTCCCGCCGGACACCAGTCCTGGGGGCAGGGTGCAGCGGTCAGGCCCTGGCCCCGCGGGAGCAGGTTGGCACTGGCCGTGAAGGAGGTGAACAGCTTTTGCCCCTCCTGTTGACCTCAGCAGTTCAGCTCCCTCCCGAGGGAGAAGCTCTTTGCATTGCAGTTTCGTATTTTGTCAGCGGTGGCTAGTGACTACCGGGATGCTGCTGACGCTGAGTGTTTTGCAGGGAGGCTGGTGGTCAGCGCGAGGTGCGTTGGCCAGGGGGATGCAATGACAAGGCCCTTCCCCATGTGCTAATGCTGTGCTCCCGGGAGTGGGGGGGCTCAGAGCGGGTCGGGAAAGGCTGCCGGCTCCTCCGCCCTGCTAGCGCGGCCCGGTGCGTCTGCCCTCCTCCCCCTCCCCACAGGGAAGAAAGGGGCCAGAGCAGAGAGTTTGAAACTCAAAGCTTTATTCAGTTGCTTCAGCGGCAGCGTTAATCACACAGTGGGAGCGCGGGGCCATTGGAAAACAGCAGCAGGTGATGCCAAAGCTTATTCCAGCTTCCTTCCTCAGCAGGGCACGGGGTCCGGCCGGCTCTAGTTGATGGGGTGGTAGGCACCGCGCTGATGCCACTGCATGTCCCGGATGCGCCTGACCGACTGGACCTGGGGGTGCTGGGCACCAAACTCTGAGCTGTCTTTGTAATCCCCCTTCTCAAACAGGTACTGGTAACCTCTGTAGCCTGGGTACTGGTAGCCCACCCACCTGCCAAGGCAAGCACAGCAGAGTTGGACACCAGCAGGCACCGCGCAGCAGAGAAACCCCTGCTACAGGACCAACCCGAGCCAGGGCCCAGGCTTCAATGAGCCAGCGAAGCATGGCAGGGCCCCAGGGCCACCCGCCTGGGCACCGCAGTCCCTGGGCTCCCTGTGGTGAGCTACCTGCTTTCATGCTCCACCTGAAGCAGCCTGGCCACCGAGCAGGGATGACGCTGCAGGGATACCAGGTAGCTGAGACTGTTTAGCCTCCGGTGGAGCTGTGGTTTTGCCCTAGGTTTTCTCCTCACAGGGGCAGGGAGCAGCAGACGCGTTGCCCAGGTCCTAATACACAGGGCAGACTCAACCCCGAAGTGCTTACGTTCCACTCTGCACCCGCGCGGATGATACTTTCTCCTGGTAGCCATGAGCGTGAAAGCTGGGCACATCATCATCTATTATTTCAATTTTCTTGCCAGTGAAACCAGGGTTTTCATATAGAACAATCTTGTGCTCCTGGCTGTCCTGCAGAGGTGAGACCAGAAACAGAGGGTCAGTGGTTGCAACAACCTAGGACTGGGCAGAGGGGAGGCAAAGCACTTTACAGCGAGCCTAGTGTTATGGGGAAACTGAGGTGAGGAACTGGACCCAGAGCAGGCCCTGGCAGGCTGGGACTGCATGCAGTGACTCTTGCTGGTGCCAGAGGCACTCTGCTTCCTTCTAGCTCCAAGACCTGGCTGTGTGCACAGGTACTGTGGGCACTGTTAGACTTACCAGCAAACATCCTCTGCTGTCAGGTTGTCCTGTCACTGCCCACTGTCCCTGCAGTTCCCTCTGAAAGCTACACCCAGAGACTTTTCCCCAGCCTAGATGTTGCCCCGTGCGTTCCCCCAGTAAGCCAAGGCTCCTGGCTATGTGTGTTGCTCCGATGGAGACCTGTGCCCGCATCTGTGCCCTGGATGATACTGGCAGGGAGCCCGTGGAGAACTCAAACAAATGGTGCAAAGGAGTTGGTGCTCCTCCACCTGTGAGGCTGGGGAAGGCTGGGGAAGGCTGGGGAAGACTTCTCATTGCAGACCTTGGCCTGACCGGTGGGTAGTGGCTGTCTGGGTGCTCTCACCACTTTGATGGGTCTCAGGGAAGTGATGCTGTCGCTTCTCCGGCTGTTGGTCCAGGAATCCCAGCGGGGGTACTCCCCCTTCTCAAACACAAACTGCTCTCCTTTGCAGCTTGCCTGCTCATAGCCCACCCAGCTGGAAGAGAACAGAGACTGAACTTCAGATGTGGGCAGAGGAGCAGAAACCAGCACCCCCAACCACTGCGCTTCCCAGCAGGGAGGCCAGGAAACACGCTCGCCTCTGGCCCTTGCTGTTAGCCCCGTGAGCATGCCTTTCTGGCAGCATGCAGGCCCCCTGCTCTCTATTATAAAGTGGAAACGAGCATTCTGGTGGCCCTGGCAAAAGGCCTGGAGGGGTGCCAAGGTGAGAGCTGGCAGCTCTGCCTGCACAGCAGTGCCTCTTCGGCAGCGCACATGGGCCTGTTTGACAGCCGTGCTGACGCAGCCAGGCCCAGGCGTCTATCGGCAAAGATAGCGAGAAGAACAACTGTCCGCACCCACGCAGCCTGGACGGGCACTGTGCTCCTGCCAGAGATGCCCTGCAGCTGCTCCACTGCTTTCCTTGGGATGGTGAGTGCTGCTTGTCACAAGGGGAGGGAATCAGCTCCGGGGCTTTGGGAGTTGTTTTTAAGGAATTCCTCACTGCACAGAGCCACCCTCCGATTCTAGGGAGCAAATTCCCTTGCTGGGAGTGCACACAGAGGGGTCAAACGATAAACAGCGAAAGGAGGCAACGCCTGCAGAGCTGGGCACGGTGGAGCAGCAGGAACTGCCTGTGCCTATCCCTACTCGGAAAAGGAAGGAAGTCAGACTGGGGGTGGAGGGGGAGACAATTAATAGCACTAGTGCTAGAGCCTTCCTATTCCTCTTCCACCAAGAAGGGGGAGGTAGGAGCACCACAGGATTCACTCTGCAGCGCAGGAAATCCTGGACACGACAAGCTGAACTTCCAAGCTACGACTGGCCTTACTGTCACAGCAGAAAGCATCCAGAAGGGCTGAACACCGGGACTGGGGTTTTTATTAGCTTAGGCTACCCAAAGCTTGGGAAGATGCAGGCTGACCTCAGGAGACCTAGTTAAACTGTGCTTGCACTTGCACATCTGGTGGCACCACACATCACATTTGGGACAACTGGGGCACCTGGCACAGAGTGAAGTGAGAAACGAGCGCTGCAGCGGGGCTGGCTGGGCAGAGAGGTGGCCAGCCCCAGCACGGAGCAATCTTCACATGGCTGCAGCAGGGCTGAAGCCAGCCCGGCGGAGCAGAGAGCCAGCCGCCTCCGGCCTCCAAACAGCTGAGCTGTTAATGCCTGCAAGGCAAGTGCTTCCCCCCGGTCCTGAGATTGGCAGGAAAATAGCCTCCACCCCTAGAGCAAGGATTCGTGTCACAGCCAGGGGGTTGGGGGAGTGAAGCCTCACACTGTCTGAAAGGGCTAAGGGTTGTTGCAGGGGGCTGTCCTCACCCAGGAAAGCAGCCATGTGAAATCCGGGGTGCGGGTGCTGGTGCTGGGGAGCGGGGCAGGGTCACTTCAGCAGCTTGGACCCTGCCTGCCCAGCCTCGGCTCAGCCCTCCCACATGATGCCCCACATACACACACAGTCCCCTTCCTCCCGGCTTCCTCAATGCCGACACTTACGGTCCCGAGTGCACGAGGATGGAGCCCACTTTCTCCACTCCGGCTTCCTTCAGGTTGGGGCAGGCACCGTTAAGTTCATGGCAACGGCCTTGGAAATTCTCCTGCTCGAAGATGGCAATCTGAAACACAGGAGAGATGGAAGAGCAGCACGTTGGATTCAACTAGGTGAGAGCCAAAAAAGGAGGGTTTGCAGCCATTCCTCTGCAGAGAAGCCAGAGGGGATGGGCGTCCAACGCTACGTCCCGCCACAGGATGGCCGTCCAGGCTAGCGCTCTGCAGATGCCCGCTCGGCCTGGTGTGGGTCCCTGCACCCTCTCTGGGAGCTTCACAGGTTCCCTTTTCTACAGTCCAGCTCTTGCACCTCCCTCCTAAACAAGCACTGCTGCTTCGGTCACTGTTAACCAGACTGTAAGCACCAGCCCCAATGTTACGGTCCTTCCAGCCACCACTCCCCTTACCGCTCGCCGGCATCAGCTCGCAGTCCTGACTTGCTCTGCCTTTCCTCCCAGTGCCTGCCCAGCACCCCGGGGCCACTCACAAAGAGCTGCCTGAACAAAGGACAGGTTCAAAACGTGGCTGAGCAACCCGGGCTGTTTGCTTGAGACCCAGCTCTTGGTCACGTTGGCTAGGAGCCTGACTCCGGCTCCTTGCAAGTCCAGCAAGATAAGCAGGGTTTAGCTGTGGTCAGAAGGCATTAGTGCATCTTCAGAGGGCTGGGCTCTGTCAGCTCAGCACACATTTCATGGGTCAGCAGAGCTGTGGGAGGCAAACGTGTTGTGTCTGTGGAGATTAGGAGTCGATCCAGGAGTCGATCTGTTCCCACGAGGTCGCTGGGACACCCCCGGCAAGGGGTGGCACCAACAGCTCGGGCTGAGGGAAGGGCAGCCCCGGCCGGAGGGGACCTGCCGGGTGAAGCAGCTGCACGGGCAAGCCCTGCTCTCCAGCCAGGCGTCAGAGCCTGATACGGAGGGTTTTTCTCTCCCCGGTCTCCCCACAGCCGGCCAGGACCCTGGTGAGCAGAGCCCCGGCACTGGTGTGGCAGGCTGGCCCGGCCTCCGCACCGCGGCCTCGGGAAAGGGCTCAGGGCAGTGCTGCTGAACTCCTGCGAGTTTCCTGCCCTG